CACATCCCCTTGTTCTGTCTGAACGACTGCTTCTTGATCTATGTACAGGCTCTTCATGAGTACAAATAAGTGTTCTGGAATACCCATTCTTCACAATGCTATTCATAATTTGTTATGAGCCACAGAGTTGAATGCCTTTGCATAGTCAACAAAACACAGGTAAACACCTTTCTGGTATTCTCTGCTTTAGCCAAGATTCATCTCAGATCGGCAATGATATCCCTTATTCCAGGTCCTCTTCTCAATCCAGCTAGAATTTCTGGCAGATCCCTGTTGATGTACTGCTGTGACCGCTTTTGAATGATCTTCTGCAAAATTTTACTTGTGTGTGATATTAATGATATTGTTCAATAATTTCTGCATCCTGTTGGATCATCTTTCTTTGGAATCAGCATTAATATGAATCTCTCCCAGTCAGATGGCCAAGTAGCTGTCTTTCAAATTTCTTGGCATAGACAAGTGAGCACCTCCAGCACTGCATCCGTTTGTTGAAACATCTCAATTGTTATTCTGTCAATTCCTGAAGCCTTGTTTTTTGCCAGTGCCTTCAGTTCAGCTTGATCATCGTCCTTCAGTACCATCAGTTCTTGATCATATGCTACCTCCTAAAATAGTTGAAAATCAACAAATTCTTTTTGGTACAGTGACTGTGTATTCATCTTCTTTTCATGCTTCCTACATCCTTCAATATTTTCCCTATAGAATCCTTCAATATTGCAACTCGAGGCTTGAATTTTTTCTCTGTGTTTTCTGTTTTCTCTCCCATTCTGAAACTCTGATCACTTGCAAATTTTTGCTTTTGATTGTATCTCACATCGTTCTCAGGGTTTCTTCATTTTTCTTCATTCTCTCCTCTGATTTTTCCTCAAACGAAGTGGTATCCAAGGATTTGTCTTCAATTTCACTGATCCTGTCTTCCATTGTTTCAAACCTGCTCCTCAAACCTTCTATAACACTGTCCATTTTTGAAATCTTCTTTATCTTTTGGATTTTTTAATTGCTGTTTTTGTACGATAAAAATATGGAACGCTTCGTGAATTTGCATGTCATCCCTGTGCAGAGGTCATGCTAATCTTCTCTGTATCATTCCAATTTTAGTATATGTGCTGACAAAGTGAGCACTGATTGATAATACTGAACTTCTCCATTGTCTCTTTCCACAGATGTAGTCAATTTGATTTCTGTGTATTCCACCTGGCGAGGTCCACGTGTACAGTCGCCATTTACACTGCTGAAAAAAGTATTTGCAATGAAGAAGTTGTTGATCTAGCAAAATTCTATCATGCAGTCTCCAGCATTGTTTCTATCACCAAGAGCATATTTTCCACTACCAATCCTTTTTTGTTTCCAACTTTCGCATTCCAATCACTAGTAAATATCAATGTACTTTTACTGTATGTCTGCTCAATTTCAGACTGCAGAAGTTGGTAAAAATCTTCAACTTCATCTTTGGCCTTAGTGGTTGGTGGGTAAATTTGAATAATAGTCGTATTAACTGGTCTTCCTTGTAGGCATATGGATATTACCCTATTACTGACAGTGTTCCACTTCAGGATAGATCTTGAAATGTTCTTTTTGATGATGAACACGACGTCATTCCTCTTCAATTTACCATTTCCAGCACAGTAGATCATATGATTTTCTGATTCAAAATGGGCAATACAAGTCCATTTCAACTCATTAATGCCTAAGATATTGATCTTTATGTGTTCCATTTCATTTCTGATGACTTCCAATTTTCCTCAATTCATACTTTGTACATTTCACATTCCAATATTTAAGGGTTGTTTGCAGCTGTCTTCTCATTATGAGTTGTGCCACATCAGCAAATGAAGCTTGACTCCATCCACATCATTAAGGTCAAGTCTACTTTGAGGAGGCAGCTCTTCCTCAGTCATATTTTGAGTGCCTTCCAACCTGAGAGGCTCATCTTCCAGCACTGTAACAGACAGTGTTCTGCTGCTATTCATAAGGTTTCCACTGGCTAACTTTTTCAGAAGTACACTGCCACATCCTTCTTCCTAGTCTATCTTAGTCTGGAAGTTCAGCCAAAACCTGTCCACTATGGGTGACCCTGCTGGTATTTGAAATACCAGTGGCATAGTTCTAGCATTACAGCAACTCGCAAGCCACCACAGTATGACAAACTGACAGATGAGTGGCATGTAGCCTACTACATGCCATGTATTTAACACACACTGTAACTACTGTGCAAGAAGGAGTCATTATCCTCATTTTACATGCAAGGACAATGAAATCCCAAGGAATTAAGTAACCTGCTCAAGCCTAAACTAATTAACTAGTTTAGCTACTGGATGATTACCCTCAGATTCTAATTATAAC